GCGTTACTAACTCCACTAGTCCCTCTGCCGAGTCTGCGACATCCCCGGTGGTTTGGGGCAGCCATGAGGCCACTATCACCGCCTCCTTCAACACCTCCGCATCAAGGCGCTTTAATTGCCACCTCGGGCCGTCCTCTCCCGAGGTTCGACTGGGGCCTGGCGGCACCGCCGGATGTGTGGAGACCTCAAATTGGATGTATAAGTGGTCCGAGAGAGTCTCCACATCTTCCAGCACTCGCCAGCCCTGGACACGGCGCGCTAAGGCCGGGCTCGCGAACGTGACGTCCACGATGGACCCGCCCTGCCATCGCACGCACGTGTTTGCCGTCCCCCGGTTAAGGACAGTCAAATTGGTGGCAACCACCCACTCCTCTAGCAACCTCCCCCTTGCATTCGTTGATGGCGAGCCCCACATGCTTGATTTTGCATTGAGGTCCCCCGCGATTACCAGGATCCGGGCCTGGAAGGTCCGAGAGAGTTCCGCCACCTCGTCCAGGAACTGCTCAAACTCGGCGACGGGCCGGTTGGGGGAGAAATATACTCCCACGACCGCCATATCACCCAGCAGTGCCGCAACGCATCCCGAGCCCCTCACAATACGCGTAAAGGGTGGAGAGCCCGCGGCGACCTGGGAGACGATGGCCACCAGTCCATCATTGTCACCCGCCCAATTGTCACGCGGGGGGACCGAGTAAGGCTCCGCCGCTATCGCCACCTGCACCGACCACTGCACCAGGCTTTGGACAAACAGGTCCTGAGCTCTGGCGCAGTGGTTCAGATTCGCCTGCAACACTTTTAAAGCCATTATTAAGTGTCCATGGCCTTAACCACCTCGGCCCTGTTGTGAACCGGCTTCTCCTGAGCCGATTGCCCAGGTGTCACTCTCTTCTTCTTTTTTGGTTGGGACCGCGTGCAGGCCGCACTTCCCACCGTGTGGTCCGCTGGCCTCTTCGACGCCTCGCAAACTGCACAGTGAGGTGCTGATGTGCACTGGCTGCGCAGGTGACCCGTCTGTCCGCACCTGTAGCATTCCGCACTGCGGTCTATCGCCCCCGTGCACCGCGCCGCGACATGGCCACCCTCGTGGCAGCGATAGCAGCGCTGTGGTCGGGCCTGCAGTAGTTTCACCTGCGCAGACACTAAGCCCACAAGAAGGCGGCCGCCGTCCACTATCTTCTTGGCAGCGACAACCGGGCAACGGACCCACGCCGTCCCCAGCCCAAAACTCTCCCGGCGAATGTCACCCGCCTTGACCAAATCGGTACTGCAGCCGCCTGTCCGGCTGATGGCCTCCGCCAATTCTGTCGGGGTTACCGAGTCATCTAGACCGGTTACCCGAAGCTCGGCACACTTGGTGGGCCTGGAGACTTTAACGTCTTCCCCGTCCAAGACCCCCTTCAATGCCTGTGCAAGGACATCCGCCTTTTCGCCGCCGTTTGCCCCCGGTATCTCCAGCATTCGAGCGCCCGTTGCGGCCACCTTAAAGCGGACATCCTTGATGCCCAACTCGGTCAGGTCAACTTTCGCCTTTACCTGAGCAAAGACCTCCCCGTATGTGACTTTTCGCTCGACAGCTGAGGGCTGGAGCTTTAACATCACTGCTGCCGAGCGAGGAGGCCGGAGTTTTCCGACTTTCTTCTTCTTGAGCGGCACGTCTGATTTCTTTGGCTGTTGTTTTGTAGCCGTCGTCTTTTTAGCCGTCGTCTTTTTGGTCCCCCGCCTCACAACCACGTTCCATCCCTCTGTAGTAGAAGGAGCTGAAGTGACCTGCTCAGTTGCCACCGTTGGAGCTGGTTCAGCCGGCTGTTGTTCAGGCATTTTTGTAGCCTTCTTTCTCCCCTTCTTTGCACTGGGGGCCGGATTTGCCGGGGCAACCAGGGTCGTTACTCCGGTCCCTCTCTCTGCCGGTTTTGCCGGCGTCTTTTCCTGCGGCTTGTCTGCCGCCAGCGGAGGGCGCATTCGCCGCTCAGGCAGGAGGCGGTCCTCAAGGGCCTCGAAACGGGCACTGATCATGGTCCCCACCTGAACCATGATCGTCTGGGCTAGTTCGTCTACGCCCGCCGGATGTTGTGGCGGGGGAACTGCCGGGACCTGGGCCACAGATGTCGTAGGACGCAGATCAGCCCGAGAGGACTCCATTTGCGCTCTCAATGCTGCAAACTCCTGCTTGAGGTCGCGCAATTCCGCTTGGAGGCGTGCGTTATTCGCCTTCAATTGCGCCGCTTCCTCCGACGCCGTTCTTTTGACCAAGATGTCAACTGCAGCCGAGATAGAGCTGGCCGCCTCCTTTAGGGCTTTTATGAAGCCCCATTTGAGATTTCCTGACTTCTTAGCCACTGTCTCAATCACTCCAAGGCTATCCTTCACTTTTCTCTGGAGGTCCGACGCCAGAACTGCCTCCGTCTCCTCCAACAATGTCACCGTAGAAACGTCGGACAGGCGCGAGCTCGCCCGAGTGCTTACCGCTGACATCATCCCGGCCACCTCTTCTTCGGCCCGCAACCTTAGCTCCTCTCTCTTGGCCTCGTTAAGGGCCCTCTTTGCCTCTGCCAGGCCTACGTACTCTCCCGTGGTGGGAGGCCTACCTCTCCCTCTACTTGCAGCAGCCTTGGTCTTAGGCCGCCCCGTATCCTCATCGGAGGACGCTGACTGGCCGCTGGTCTTGTGCGGTCTCTTTCGCGCCTCCTTTTTAAATTTGGACCTGTTCGAGCTCCCAATCGAGCTTACAGAGATAAAACTATCCCCGTCTGAGTCCTTGCCAGAACCGGCCCAGAATCGTCCAGAAGAGGACGTAGGACTTAGCCTGCTCAGCGCGCTTTCCCCCAGCTCTACCCGGGTCAGCACCACTTGCGGCTGTCTTGCCGCAATCTCCTCATCTCTTTCCGCAGTCGCAACACGCGACACAACACCTCTCTTTGGCCGAATGCCAGCACCGCCAGTCGCTGGCACAACACCTTCTCCGCCCGTCGCAGGCACCACATCTTCTCCGCCCATCACAGGCTCAACATCAAGGTTTGTTTTTTGTTTTTATATTCACTTGCATATTTGTTCCCACGAGTATGGGGGAAGGGTGGGTCCATCCGCACAGTGCCCCCTGTATGCGGATAAGCCTCCACGTAACCCGCTAAGAGTGTCGGCCGGTACTCTTGCGGGGGTAGCAGTAGTGACCGATCTACCCATCGGCCACGCATCCCCTCGCGCTGCTCCGCCACTTGGGATTGGGGTGATTTTTTATAGAGGTTTTCTTCCTCGCAGCCCGGGCGGTTAAGCCGAGGCTATCGGTCCCAGTAACCGGCCGCTAGACATGGCAACGACACCGGGTCCCGGGATTACGATTTGAGAGGGGCGTTGCACGAAGTGCTAGCCGGGCTGCGCAGTTAAGCGCCCGCCGGGCTCGCCCCACCTCCGCGCTTTTCTGTCAGGGTGTGCTCCCTTAGGCCGTGGGGTTAACAAACCCCTAAAGGCACGCCCATGCCTACTGGTTTTGGTCCGCGCCGGTCAAGACCGGTACCACCAATGTGGTGGCATTCCCCTATCCGCCACCCGGGGGACGCGCCCAGTAGCAGTCCAGCAACTGCCCTGAGATTTTTCGCCAAACCTAACCCAAACCAAAAAAAAAAAACAATATATATATATAATCGATCGTCGTTGTGTAAATTGATATACATGAAGTACTAATATCTAATAACTCATTGGAATATTTTTCGCCAAACCTAACCCAAACCAAAAAAACACAATATATATATATGAATGTTGATAATGTCGTTGATTTCCACGGTTATTATACTTACCACGTGAAAAATATTTATTTTTATAATGATCACGTTGATTATGTCCCATTGTGGTAGGATACCTATTCTTAAAACTATTGTACCTACCTTGAAAACCTCTTTTACCACGAGCCGAGGATCTCCTTATGTGCATGACGTCAGGGTTCGTTGAGGTCGAGGGTACGAAAATCTCCTCGTCCTTTGCCGCTTGGATCGCGTCTTTAAGAGAAGAGTAGTTTCTAGCTGCAATTATGGTACTTAATTTACTATTTTTTAAACCATCCGAAAACTGTTTAATTGCTGACTTTTCGTTCAAAGGCTTAAGAATGCTATAATTAGAAGTATTTCCGTCTGCTTGAGATATTGTTAATTCTGTGAAAAGCTTTTCGATTTCACTTCCATACTCCTCAACTGACCTCCAACCTTGAGTAGTCTGTTGAAGACGTGCTTGAATAGCCGTAAATGATTTTTTAGTTAAAAGGTGAATTTTCATATCCTTAACAATATCTTTAACAGAAGTGTAGTCTGTCAACATGCGCATTTTAGCGTTTTCGGAGAGTACTTTTTAAAATAAATTTAATTAATAAAGGAAAATCTGAATCTTTAAGCATATCCGCATACATTTCAATACCATCAATTAATTTCTTCGTAGTCTCCTCTACACCGTCCATAACCGGCAACAAACTACAAGCCGTTTTTAAATCGAAATCCATTTTTGTGAAATAACTTTCTGACTTAATACACAATTTTTTTATCTCTAAATATATTACATTAATATTTTCATATATTTCAATAGCTTTATTAATTATGTCCGACTTTTCATTATACTTTATATTTTCTAAAATTAAACTGCTACTTGATAAAAGTTTTTCACACTCATTTAATTTATTTTCTATGATATTTCCCGTAAATCTTTTTTTACCCGATTTTATTAAGTATTTCTTTATATCAAATAAAGAGTTATATATTAAACATAATTTATCTGTCATACTAAATCTTAATAATTATAATAAACATCAAATCTTAAAATAGCACATAGTAACATTATTGACAATAAGATACCTAAGTACATCGTGTAATTTGAGCGGGAATGGAATGTCGCATCTTTCCTTCTCGGGCGGCGCGTATCATATTCGCGAGTTTACACGCGGCGAATATAATTATGCACAGTTTAAACACTTACGTGGATCACAGTTTAAGGACGCACTCACACACTTTTTTTTTCATTTA